GATGATGATGGTGATGATGATGATGATGATGATGATGATGATGATGATGACGATGACGATGACGACGACGACCACGACGACGATGATGATGATGATGACGATGATGATGATGATGATGATGATGATGATGATGATGATGATGGTGGTGATGATGATGATGCTGATGATGATGATGATGATGATGATGATGATGATGATGATGATGATGGTGATGGTGATGGTGATGGTGGTGGTGGTGGTGATGATGATGAGGAGGAGGAGGAGGAGGAAGAGGAGGAGGAGGAGGAGGAGGAAGGATGAGCAGCAGGAGGGCGTCTTGGGTGCCTCGGAGGGGCCTCTTGGCGCGTCTGGGGACACCTTGGGTGCACCGGGGATCATCCTGAAATCTTCTGGGGGCCTCTTGGGTGACTCTTGGGAGCCTCTTGGAGGCCTCTTGGGGCCGTCTGGGCGCTTCTTGGGGCCCTCTTGGGGCGCTCTTGGGAGCTTTAGAGGCGCTCTTCGGGCCATCTTGGAGGCCATCGATCAACCAAGAGGGGAGCTCCAATTAGCCCCCCCCCAAGAGGCCAACATGGGGTCAACACCGTAGTAAATCCAATGGTTTTGGCTTCCTCGCCGAGGCCGTTTTGGACGCTCCAATGGGTCGAGGCACCGCCTATCCAGGTCCAGGGGAGGGGGCAGGGGGGGAGGGGTAAACCCCTCCCCGAAGGGGAAGAAGGGGGGTGGAAGAGGAACCTTCCTAAACCACCTACGCCCATAGTAGGGCTGGTGGGAGGATACCTTGCTTGCAAAAGCAATGTTGCTGTTGGAAGTCCACACTGGCAAACTTTCACCGCTGCGACGCGGGGCGTGACAGTCATTGCAGAAACAAGATTGTGAGTGACGGTTGTGACTTTCTCGGGCCGCATCGTGCCAAGCGGGTTCATCCACGGAGTTTGAATCGAACCCAGAATCTTGGCAAGCGCTGAACCTGTCAAATCACAGCCAGCTGCGCGAATTGGTCGCCTCTTGATTTGGTTGAGTCTTGCAAGCACTGAGCTGCGTCGGCAATCGCCATGGTGCACTAGCCTCTGATCAGTCGCTGAGCAGCGTGCTGTCAATACCCTCATGCATGCAGTGCGCGAGTGAGGCTGACATGCTGACTGCTCGAAGGGGTCGGTCCTCGCCCAAGGGTTTTACCCTCAGAAGGGTGCTCCGAGACGCATCCTCCCGAGGTGCGTTCCGATCAGGATCCCGAGACGCATCCACGCCGTGGCGGCGGCGCCCCGCCCCGAGGAGGCCCCGGCAGCACGAGGGAAGGGCACGGGCGTCGGCCTCGGCGCCGCACCTCCAGAGGAGGGGCGCGGCGCTGCTCCCGCTGCCCGCCGCGGGCGTGGCGGACCCTCCTCGCCCGCAGCAGCGCGCCCTGGAAGGTTCCGCCCCAGGCGTGCGCGGCCTCTGCTCTTCAGCGCGAGGGCCCCCAGAGAGCCCCCGATCCACTCCCGGGGGAAGGTTTTTTTTCATCCCGAGGATTTTCGTGGACGGCCCCATCGAGCCCTGTGGGAGCTCCCGGAGCTTGAAAATCAGGGCCGGCCTGACCGACCCCTAGCAAGCCATTCCCTCCCGTGACGCCCCCCCCCCCCCGCCTCGTCCCTGGACGTGTGCATGCGGTCGCAGGGAAGCTCGAAAGGCGATCGTGACGCCGCCGAAGTGGATGGTCTGCTAGGGGTCGGTGGGGCCGCGCCCGAGACCACTGCAGCAGTCCTGCCGCCGTGCTCCGTTCACGCCGCGAGCTCGTCTGGGGCGCTCTGTTCACGCCGCGGAGGCACCGCCGGAGCGGCGCGCCCCCCCCCCCCCCCCTCAGGCTCTCCCCCGCGAGGGCCCGCGCGCCCATGATGCCGCCGCCCGCCGCGCCGTCGCCCGCCCCCGCCGTGGGCGGCGGGCGGCGCCGCGTGCTGGCGCTGGCCCGCGGCGCTCGCTACGCGGAGGACGACGCCAGGCCCCCTCGACGAGGAGCCCAGGAGGGCAGGGCGGGGAGGGGAGGGGAGGAGGAGGAGGTCCAGGAGGGCAGGGGCGAGGAGGAGGGCGAGGTCCAGGAGGGCAGGGGCGAGGAGGAGGGCGAGGAGGGGAGGGACGACCGGCGACGAAGGAGAGCGAGGATAATGGCGTTGAGGGTAGGGACGAGTAGGGGAGGGGCGACCACTCCAGCCGAGAGCTCCGGGGGGGTGGGGGGGGGAGGGCCCCCCATCATTCAAGGCCCTCCAGGGCTACCCAGGGGGAGGCGCAGGTCAGGGGCGACGCGAGGGGGGGGGGAGGTAGGCTCAGGGGGGATATTCTCAGAGGGGGGGGGGGATGGGCTCGGGGGGCGATGCCCCGCGGCGTCCCTGGCCGCTGTGGCCGCGGTGGTCCTGCTGGCCGCCGTCGTCTCGGGGAGGACGAGCGGAGGGGATCAGGGGCAGCTTTCGGGGGGCGTGGGCTCAGGCTGGGGATGCATCGACCCCCAGTCGCCCACGGATCCCCGGTGGGGGCTCGACAGCCTGCCCCGCCGAGCAGCGCGGGGTTCTGCCATCGGGAGCCTGTCGCCGCTGTATATCGGCGCTGTGCCCCCGATGTCGCCGCTCTGTCGGCGCCGTGCCGCTGACTCCAGGTCGGCGTTTCCCCCCCCGTGAGCCAGCTTCCCCCCCGGTTTGGCATCTCTCGGGCGTGCACCTTTTCCGAGTGTTGTGGATGCCACGACAAGTGACACCCTAACAGTCCGATCATTGAATTTGAAATGTGTTTAACATGCCGGAAGCATGTTCTAAACATGGTTTAAACATGTTTTTGCATGTCTGAGACATTTTTTAAACATATGGGAATTATTCGGCAGCATGTTTCCTCTCCATTATTCGACTTCCTCAATCCTGGTGAGCTGCACGGCGGGGCCTCCGCCGCCGCTCGGGTCGCACCCTCCGTCGCCGCGTGCTCCCAGCCCCGCCGCCCGGGCAGTGGCGCAGGGCGTGCCCGTCCCCTCGGGGCCTCCTCCTCCCCGGGCCTCTGCTTGGACGTTCGACGACACGCTGGCACGCTTGTGCTCTTCTCCGCTTTCGGCGCTCGGGGGGCCGCTTCTGGGCCATGCCCCTCCTCTTCCTCCTCTTCCTCCTCCTTCTTCTCGTCCTCCTCCTTCTCCTCCTCCTCGGCTCCGTCTGGGCCACACCGATAGACGTTCCTACTCCTCCTCCCATCCCTCCCCTCCTCCTCATCCTCCTCCTCCCTTCCCTCCCTCCCCTCCATCCTCATCCTCCTCCCCCTCTCCCCTCCTCTCCTCTTCCTCTCCTCCTCCTCTTCTCCTCCTCCTCTCCTCCTCCTCCTCCTACCTCCTCTCCTCCGCCCCCCCTCAAGGACGAAAGCCGCTCGGCGGGGAGGGTCGAGCGCTTCAGGTTTTGCGGCGTACTCGGCGCAGCGAGGCCTGTCGGTGCTTGCGACCGCTGCCTTCGACGAGGAGATCCCGACAGGCTCCCCGGAGGCTCCGAGGCGCCACGCCCTGCGGGCCCTGACGTGAGCCTCGCGTTGCCCCGGGATCCGCGCAGAGAACGGTCGGACCTTGGCAGAACTGGGTCTCGAGGGACCTGGCTCAGTGGTGTGCACCTGGGAACGCACCCCCCACCCGCACCATTCCACTGCGATCGGGCGTTGGCAGTGCTGGGTTTAGAGGGACGTGGTGCAGTGATGTGTACTAGGTGACGCCCCCCGCTCCCGCCCCATTTAACGGGGGGGCCATCACCCGAAAAACACCAGCTTGGGGTTGCGGAGGCTCGTGTTCCTCCTGCGGCCCTAGGGGCTGCAGAAAGTCCGCAGGTGGTCGCGAGGCACTCGCCCAGCCTGTGAGCGCGGGAACAGAAAAGCACCAGCTACAACAGACCGAATTCAGCGATTACAGTCCATATTTGGGACGTCGGGGCCCAATAACTAACAGGCTCCCCTTAACCCGGGTCCTGGCTATACCCACAGCGGGTGTCGTATCGCATTTGTGGGTGTGGGGACCGACCTCTCTGTGCGCGAAGCGAGGTGACACATCTGGTTGCGCTGCAGGCTGCCGGGTCATCGTCGTCACGCCGCATAGGGGGCTTCTCTCCGCGAGGGTGATGAGGCACAACACTCGTTTGCTGAAGTTGATTTGCTTTGTTTTTGTTCACTACGGCAGGTTATTCATTTCAACAGGGTCCGCCTCTCTTAGTGTTCCAGTGCTTGCTTTTCCCTGATTTCATACAGTGTGCTACTGCTGCCAGGAGCCAACTTGGGTCCAGGACCCTTGATAATCGAGCAGGAAACAGAATTGAGCAGCGATATCAATGAAGACCGCGGATGTTGGACTCAACAGGCGCTCCATTTCTAGGGTGTCCGAAATGTTGTCGCGTTGGTTGAGCCCCCGTAGTCAATAGTTGGCATGATTCTACAGGATTCCTGCTAAACTCTTCGAGGAGGCAGGATGAGAATGGGGACGGGGAAGCTCGGTTTTCTCAAGGTCCAAGAACCTAAGTCTCCCCGAGGACCCTGGACACCCGCTTGGCCTCCTCAAGGTCCAAGGTATTCCAGGCAGAGGCACCGCATCTTCGAAATTCTTGCCTGACAGGCGGGCCCAGTTCCGCCGTGTCAAGCAGAAGCGGTGCGCCCGCTCTCCGCTCCAGGATCGCCGCGATCAGGCAGTTTTTTTGCACGGCGTGTCAGGCTCAGCGTTGCACGGCGCAGCTTTCGCAGTTCTTGGGCAAGGCCACCCGCCAAGGATCTGCTCGGTTGAGAGCGCCATGCTGCCACAGTAGCTACCGCTACCACGTCACTGGTGCTGGTTGTGTTCGTCGTTGCGAGCGTGGTCAGTGGCTGCGCTGCAGCGTCCGCAGCTGAAGCGGCTGCGTTAAAAAAGGGGGCGCGGCGTATCCGTTCGTGGCACTGCAGGACGGGCCAGGGATGAGCAGGGGACAGGGGCAGGGAGGGGAATGGAAGTGACAGGAGCGGAGAGGAGGGGGACAGAGGCTGGGCGGGAGGACCAGCGCCGAGTCACGCCAGCTGTCGCAGTGTAGACGCCCGTGGCCCCCGCACGCGGCACCGCCTGCAACCGCCCCTGGCTGCTTCCTGCACCGCGTCAGGTCAGCCTGGCAGGCCGGCTGCGTGCCAGGATTGCGCTGCGCGCCCAGGGGCAAGTCTCCCTGAGGGTCGCCCACTGGCCGCCTCGGTGTACGTCGAGCGTTGAATCGGGCATGTCCCTGTACAGGAAGAATACTCAAGAATTGTAAAGAGTATTATGGTGACGATTTGTTGTGTTTTTGTGCGAGTATGTTTAGGTATTTGTTGACTACTCGTTATCTTTCTTCCAAGCTCCGCCCCCAAGGTGGACATGCTCGACCTCAGTCTGGCGCTTGCACCTGCAGCGCCGCGCCCACAGGCCGGTGCGCCACGCGACGTGGCACCTTTCCCGGGGGCACTGGGCGGCGGCGCCTCCGCATGTCCGTCGCAGCGGTCGCCCGCCAGGCTGTTGCGTGCTGGGCCCGCCCTCGCCTGCAGTAGCGCGTCCCCGCCAGCGAGGCCCGTAGTCTTTGATGAGCAGGTTTTCCACAACCACTGCCGTATGTAGGACGTGGGAGAAGGGAGGAGGAGGTGGAGGTCCTCCACCTCCTCCTCGTCCTTCTCCTCTTCGTCCTCCTCCTCTTCCTTCTCCTCCTCGTCCGCCTCCTCTTCCTCCTCCTCCTCCTCCTCCTCCTCCTCCTCCTTCCAGGGAACGCTGTGCCTCTTTCTCCTCCTCCTCCTCCTCCTCCTCCTCCCCCTTCTCCTCCTCCTCCTGCTCCTCCTCCTCCTCCTCCTGTTCCTATTGCTCCTCCGCCTCCTCCTCCACCTGCGCCTCCTCCTGTTCCTCCTGTCCCTCCTCCTCTTCCTCCTCCTCCCCTTCCGTCTCCTGGCTTTGGTAGTGGTGGTGGAAGATGGGCCCATCAGTCTTGGTCACCGGACCAGCTGCAGCTACACGCCCACGTCTGTCTCTTGCAGCGCGCGGCACGACAGTGGTTGCACATCCGACCGCTCGCCGTGCTCGGCGAGGTCCCCCATGGCCTGCTCCGCTGAGAATGTCAGCGAGGAAAACGCACACTCGTTGACTCCTACGCCTGATGGGCGAGGGAGGGGAGGACGCACAGGAGGTGAGGTGAGGGAAGGGAGGGACGAAGTGGAGGGGAAGGGGAAGGTGGGAAGGTGGAGCTCCCCTCGCAGGTCTGTAGCTGCAGCGTCTGCTGCGCCCTCGTCGGTGGCGGCCTCAGCTGTCACGGCGGGCTCGAAGCGGCGGTTGCGGCTTCTAGTCATTCGCTTCCCATGGCATAGGGAGCCCGAGAGTAACCCTCGAGCGAGAAGCAGCCGAGTCCGTGGGCAAGGGCTGATTTTCAATGCACTGCAGAGACCTTGCGGCAAGTTCCGCCTTCCCCGGAAAGAGAGTAGTTTGGGCGCAAGAGGCGGAAGGGGGGAGGGCCAAGAGGCAGCTGTGGGTTTCACGTGGGGGCGAAATCAGTGCGGCTTTTCCCGCCATCATGCTGTTGAGGGCTTTTTGGGACCCTTCTGGGGGCCCTTAGGGCCCACGTGAGCGACGCAGGAAAGAACGCGTTCGACTGCGCCGACATTCGCGCGCACGTTTCCCGCGTAAGGTCGAGCGTAAGCGCCTTCGTCTCCATCGTAGCTCGCCGCGCTGGCGGCCAGCGCAAACCGCGGCGATGTCGCTATGTCATCTCGCGCGGGGGGTCGCCGGGGCCTCTTGGGGGCCTCGTGGGGGCCTGGGGAGGCCGGCCTTGATCACCAGAAAGAATTTCGAGCGCCAAGAAAGGACCTGAATGTGGAGGGTTTTCGTGTCAGGCCCTGGGAGGCGATACTCGTTCGAAACTGTTCGACTTTTCTGGGTGCTCGACATTTTTCCTCACTCAGTGCTTGCACTGAAGGGGTCCTAGCGGATATTGAAAGATTAGGCGAAAGTTTCCCGCCGATTTTGGTGGCCGGCCAGGTTCCCGGGTTCCCGGTTCCGGGTCCCCGGGTTCCTGGTCATTGGTTCCGGGCCGATTTCGGTGGGTTCCGGGTTCCCAGGTTCCCTCGTTCCCGGTCGATCTCATTATCGATTACACCATCCACTGATTGGGGTTTTTCTTTGGTGTAATTTCTGGGATGTGGTCCTGAAGTACGATGGGGGCAGCGTAAGGCTGGCCTCCGAAACGGTCCGAGGGGCCCCCGAAGACCGCCGAGGCTGGCCCGCGTCGGCCCTCCCAGCGGGCTACAGCGGAATTGGGGGGCCCACGGATGGCCTGGATCGCCAAAGCCACCAGAGGGGGAGGAGGAGGAGGAGGAGGAGGAGGAGGAGGAGGAGGAGGAGGAGGAGGAGGAGGAGGAGGAGGAGGAGGAGGAGGGAGGAGGAGGAGGCGGAGGGAGGGGAGGAGGAGGAGAAGGAGGGGGAGGGGGAGGGGAGGGGGAGGGGAGAGGAGGGAGGGAGGGGGAGGGAGGGAGGAGGGAGGGAAGGGCGGATGATGAGGACGAGGGAAGGACGGAGGGAGGAAGGAGGGGGAAGGGGAGTGCGGGGGAAGGAGGAGGAGGCGGATGAGGAGAGGAGGAGAAGGCGGAGGTGGAGGAGGAGGAAGAGGAGGAGGAGGGGGAGGGGAAGGAGGAGGAGGAGGAGGAGGAGGAGTAGGAGGAGGAGATTGCCCAGGCTGCACAACTCAGCCCTGTCAGGCTGGCAGCCCACGGCCAGGCTGCACGGGGCTCTATCGCTGTGCCGGGGGCGAGGTGAGCGGGGAGGTGCGTTCCTCCGTCCCAGGAGGAGGAGCTAGGAGGAGCAGGAGGAGGAGGAGGGGAGGAGGAGGAGGAGGTGTTGGGGAGGAGGAGGAGAGCGGGAGGAGGAGGGAGGGAGGAGGAAGTGGGGGAAGGGAGGGAGGGACGAGAGGGAGGGAGGGAGGGAGGGAGGGAGGGAGGGAGGAGGATGGAGGAGGGAGCAGGAGGAGGAGGAGGAGGAGGGGAGGAGGAGGAGGAGGAGTAAGGCGAGGAGAAGGAGGAGGGGAGGAGGAGGAGGAGGAGGAGGTGAGGAGGCACGAGGGGAGGGAGGGAGGAGGGAAGGAGAGCTGATGAAGAGGTAGAATGGGGAGGGAGGAGGAGGAGGCGCGAGAGGAGGAGGAGGTAGGAGGAGGAGGAGGAGGAGGGGGGAGGAGGAGAGGAGGAGGAGGAGGAGGAGGATTGGAGGAGGAGGAGGAGGAGGAGCGAGCGAGCGAGCGAGGGAGGGAGGGAGGGAGGGAGGGAGAAGGAGGGAGGGAGGGAGGGAGAAGGAGGGAGGGAGGGAGAAGGAGGAAGAGTAGGCGGAGGAGGAGGTGGAGGAGGTGGTGGTGGTGGACGGCTATGAAGGCGGGTGCAAAATCAGAAGAGCTCGCCGTCGGAGGAAGCAGACTCATTGTCCGCTCTCCCCGCAGCCCTTCGCTGCCCGAGTTCCTTCACCCTCTGCAGCTCTGATTCAAGGATACCAGAAGCCGCAAGCACAGACGCTTACGAGGGCAATCCTGGACTGAAACCTTCGGCGGCAGACGAGCCCGCGCTCGCCGCCACCACCTCGCTCGAATCCACCAGTCCCTCGATCTCGGCCTGCTCCTGAGGACTCAACGGGCCAGACGGACCGAGCACGAGGGACTTAGTGGAGGCTCTATAGTGTGGGTGCTTTCCTCCTCGGATACGACCTGGCTGGGTCCTGATGCCTGGGCTGGCAGGCTTCCCAAGACAACGCTCCAGGAGGGTGCGGCCCAGACGCCCCGAGGTGTAGCCCCCACACCTAAAACAAAACACGACTTTATCACCTACTCTGGTTGGCTTTTCGATCGGACACCGAACAAGAGCGTGCCGTCTAAAGTAGAAGGCGAAGCGGGCTTCGACGGCCCAGCACGGATCCACTCCATCCTCCACCGCCCCAACACTCGACGACGAGGCACACTCCTCCTCCTCCTCCGCTGGGTCGGGCGGGGGCTCAGCGGGCTGGCCTTAGTCGAGCTCTACAAGCCCGACAGTGTCCTGCCTACTCTGCCCGCGGGAGACCAGCAGCACTTCGAGCCTCCCCGCCCATTTCCCCTGCTCGGCCACAAGGGCCTTAAAACCCCTAAACAAATCTGCATGGGAGTCTCCCACCCCGTGCATCCTGGCCCCTAACTTCGCATACTGGTCAGCACTTGCATTGGCCTTTTCTCCCAGAGAGAAGTGCGACAAGCCTCTAGATCAGAGCGCGTGGCGTGGGCCAGGGTCTTGTGGGCCTGGAAATCGGTTCCCTCGAAGGCGGCCCAAAAAGGGCCCCACATGTGGCTCCTCTGGGACCTGGCCGCGGCGCCCAACCCTGGTCCTCCGAGCAAAACTTCTAGAGTGGCCTTGCAATCTAGATACAGCTCAAACGGGGCCATCCCAACTTGTGTTGGCATGTGCACCGCAACATCCTCACCATCCTTGGCAGTCTGGCGAGGGCCGAAGCTGAACGGCACTGGGCCGTACGCGGCGTGCAGCACGTTTCCCAGAGGGTCAACCTGCACTAAAGCCCAGTCCGCCCTGCAGACCCCTGGCAGAGATGGCCACAAGGCCGAACCGTCACTGAAGATACAGGATACAGCCCGAGAGAAACCCACTGGCAGGCTTGTTCACCCACCTGATCGTGGCCTCGGGTTGCTCGCGAGGAACGAAGGCCAGGGGGCTAGGCATCACGCATCTGGCAAAACGCTCGCCCACCTCCTCCCCACACTCCAGGGCGCGGCGGGCACGGGCCACATGCCAGGGGCCGAAGGCATCCCTCCTTACATTGCAGTGCGCCTGGCAGCCGTACTGCCTGTGCCACAGCGTCCCCCTGGCCTCCTTACAAAGTTGGCACAAATCCGAATGGTGCAGGCCGTGCCCGTGCACCCCGGCCTGTGGCCAGTGCACATTGCATGCAAGTGAGCGGAGTGCACGCTGGTGATGGGCCGTCCACAAGAGGGTCTTGCCCCTGAGGAGCGCACCCAGGCCAGCCCAGAAAATCGGAAACACATCTTCGCGCCCACGGGGGCCGACTCTCCCGAGGCGCCCAACACTTTCAAGCGCAAGCCTGTCGGACGCCCTGGCGGCCCCTTCGTGCACTAAATCTCTGACCTCCCTGGGCGACAGCTGGCATAAGTTCCAAACCAATCCTAGGTCG